CTTAAATTCTCCTTCTCGGCCAGGCATGGTGGCTCACGCCTGTAATTCCAGCACTTCGGGAGGCTGAGGTGGGTGGATCACCTGAGGTCAGGAGTTTGAAACCACTCTGACCAACAAGGTGAAACCTCATCTCTAAAAAGAAAAAATAAATTCTCTCTCTCTTTTAGTTTGTCTTTAAATCCTTAGGTTTTCCTCTTGCTTCTTCCTTCTGTTTTATGTCCCTGGGATTGGATGGGACCAGTGGGAAAAGAAGCCTAAGCAAAAGGACATCCTGTTTTACATGGGGTCTTGCCCCATTCACTAAATGGATTCTCTTGAGATTTGTGATTGAAAGCTCCAGCAGTAAACCAAGAGATTTTATCCAGTGTCCTTTCTACATGCCTCCTTTCTGAACCAATAACATTGCTAGAGAGTCAATCAAGATCCCATTTTCTACCCCAAAGACAAGACTCCTATTTAACTCAGGCAAAAAATATCCAAGATGGAATCTAAAGGTCCTGTTCAGTTCTATCTATCACAAATCATTTGTTGATTCTGTTAGGTCTCTTAAATCTAACTTTTGTCACACACAACTGACCAGACCAAACTCTGTTATTTGATCAGCAGTGTCAAACTGTGCTCCAATAATCACTAGGACGTTGCAGTTGCGTCTCTGAGGACCACTGCAGGGGACAAGTTGGCAAAGAGCATAAGGGATGTCAGAGAAACATGCTATGTGACTTTCTTGGTGCTTTACTATGTGTCTTTCTTAATGTTTGTGTGTGTGTGTATGTGTGTGCTAATTTTATCTACACAACAACCCTACTTTTGTCATCTTCATTTGATAGATGAAGAAATTGAGGCACAGAGAGATTCAGCAACTAAAGTGATATAGCTGGTAAGTAGCAAAATTAGGCTTAGAACTATGATATTCTTATTTCTGAGCCAGCCTTCTTGATATCTAAGTTGTACTGGAGTTTACTGTGTGCTGGGGATTGTGCTGAGTGTTAATGATTTCATTCATTTTTCATGACTGCCCTGTACAGTGGGTACTATTATCTTTACTCTTTCAATGAAGAAATATAAGGAATTCATTCACAGCCATGGAGTGGCAGAGCTATATTCACACTTGGGTCTGTCTGCTCTGAGAGCACACTCTCTTAATTCCATCACATACACATCTTCCTGTGTGTAATGACTAGTGGAATGTGTGTGCTTTCTCCTCTGCTAGAATGTGAGCTTTTTGAGGAAAGAGGACAATACCTTTTTTATCTTAGTCTTTCAAGAGACTTAGCAAGGCTCTTCTTCTTTTTCCGTTTTTATGGAACTATGGTACAGAGGACTTAGCAAGGCTCTTGACTCATAGTCTATGATGCTTGATAAATCCTAGTTAGATTTGTTACCTACACAATGGGTGGGTTTCTTAGCTTGGAAGGTGACAGTCCAATAACCACAACCAAAGAGGATTTAACAATGGGATTTCATTACTTGCAACAAGGAAGGACACTGGGAATAATTCCCAAAGCAGTGCTTCTCCAAGCAACAGTGAAAACAGTGCTTTTATTGAGCTGGTTAGCTTCATCACTGTATGTACAGGTGGAGTAAAGACAGTGAAGACACATTGCCTATCATGCTTCTACATACATTGCATGTAGAAAATAGTGAATAAGCTCTTCCCTGGGTGGGGATTTTAGCAGGGTAATAAGGGGAGTTTGCAAAATTTCATCTTCAACTCAGGCATCTCTGGATCCAAATCATTTTGGTCTTTGTTTTTCTGGGGCTGAGCTTCCTCCTAGCACTTTTTTGAAACAACAAGAATGCAGGGTGCAACAGTTATAAGTGGGTACATTTTCATAGTGCATATCCAAAACCCAGGACCTTGGGCTACAAATTGACTAGAAGTCAAGGTGTGGAGGCTCTCAGAGTAGAAATCAAGGAATGAGTTGAGAAGATAAAGGTTCCAGGAATTGAGGAGATCAAGGAACTCTGAGATCAAGTGATAAAAGGCTCTTTGTGTGGATGCTGAAGACCTAAGAAGGACAACTGAAAACTCTCTGAGACCAGAATTGTCCATGAAGGGTGGGTGGTGATATAGTATGGTAAAACACCTGGAAGGCTAATTATCCAAGCAGAGTCACAGAATGGCCACAGTTCAGTGTGGTCACCATGCTTAGGATCTAGCCTTGTTTTTCCACTTGAGAAACTTCATTTTATCTCGATTCCCCAAAATGATTAAGTTTTCATGCTGATACACCAAAGGGACAAGAAACTGTTCAACAACCAGAATATCATGTGATTATGCTCAAATTTCATTGATCAGAATTTTCTTGTTCTGATTATAATGATATGATCATCAGAAAAGCAAGGGGCAGACTAGAAAAGACATTTAGGACAGGTGCAGTGGCTCCTGCCTATAATCCCAGCACTTTGGGAGACGGAGGCAGGCGGATCACTTGAGGCCAGGAGTTTGAGACCAGCCTGGGCAACATGGTGAAAACTCATCTCTACTAAAAAAAAAAAAAAAAAAAAAAAAAAAAAATTAGCCAGGCATGGTGGCACACACACCTGTAATCCCAGCTACTTCTTAGGAGGCTGAGGCACGAGAATCTTTTGAACCCGGGAGGTGGACATTGCAGTGAGCCAGGATTGTACCATTGTACTCTAGCTTGGGTGACAGAGTGAGACTCTGTCTCAACAAAACCCCAAAAGGACAGACATTCAATATAGTGTCCTAGCTGGAGAAAGTCTGTGTGAATAGGAGGAGGAGGTCAGCCTAGAACAATGAAGGAGGCCATGGGAGGCTGGCAATGCCTGTCAGAGCTTGTTCAGAGGACAGAGTCTGATCTGAGCACACTTGGCCAGGTGAGTCCTATAGTAAGTATTCATTAAATGATGGCTGTTATTTTTGTTAAGATGAGTGAGAATGTCTCCAGGGACCCTTAACTGAGAGTCACCTTCTGAGATTAGGTAACTCATGTTTTATTTCTTAGAGTACTCCTTCTGTATACTTGTTTAAAGGGAGTCTGCCTCTGAGGACAGAATCCTCTCTCTGTGCGATACAGAGTAATGGCTTCTGCAGGCAGACCAGTAGGGCTCAATTTTGCCTGGTTTTATTTTGTACTGTGTCACCCTGTGCAAGCTATATAATCCTCTATGCCTCAGTTTCCCTTACCAGTAAAATAGGAACAATAATAGTACCTGCCTCCAAAAGTAGTTGTAAGAATAAACTGAGATAATGCATAACTCCTGGCACATAACAAACTCAATAAATGTTAACTTTGAGATGGAGTTTTGCTCTTGTTGCCCAGGCTGGAGAAGAGTGGCATGATCTTGGCTCACTGCAACCTCCGCCTCCTGGGTTCAAGCAATTCTCCTGCCTCAGCCTCCTGAGTAGCCAGGATTACAGGTGCCTGCCACCACGCCCAGCTAATTTTTGTAATTTTAGTACAGACGAGAGTTTTACCACGTTGGCCAGGCTGGCCTTGAACTCCTGATCTTGGGTGATTTGCTTGCCTTGGCCTCCCCAAGTGCTGGGATTATGGGTTTGAGTCACTGTACCTGGCCAGTGTTAATTTTTAAGGTCATGTTCCTGAGATTGCAAGACCAGGACCAAACTATGGATTATCAAGGTAAATGATATCTAATCAGTGAGCCTAACACCTCAGAATGACATCCTCTGCTTCGCTATAGATCACCTTGACATCTCAAGTAACAAATATTTATAATAGTCTCACTTATTTACCTATATCTGAGACATACATATTTAGTAAATGTTTCCCACAACCCTAAGAGGTAGGTACTAGTAGTATCCCCATTTTACAGATGAAGAAACTGAGGCACAGAGAGGATAATTTGTGTGAGTAAAGATGGCTCTCACTGTGGTAATCATCTTTTTATTTACTTATCAAACTACCTCTTCTTTCTTATAAACATATCATTAAAGAATGAGTATTTTACAGTGAAAAAGGGATTCACAACTTACTTTTTCTCTCATCTGTAACAATATGTTTTTTTTTTTTTAAAGACGGGGTTTCACCATGTTGGTCAGGCTGGTCTTGAACTCCCCACCTCAGGTGATCCACCCGCCTTGGCCTCCAAAGTGCTTGGATTACAGGCGTGAGCCACAATGCCTGGCCAACAATATGTTTTAAATGTACTTTCTGCTTAATGAGCTTTGAATCCATCCACAAATGCACCATGTAGGTATACAACGTGGTGGGCAACTTTGCTATTTGTAAATGATAAAACCAAACAAGAGGTCGTTCACCAGCTTTTATGTAGCAGGGATCACAGAATATGCCTGCAATATTGCTTTTCCATTACTGAAATTTCAGTATTGGCTCATCTGTTCTCTTGTTACAAAATCCAGATGATAGGAACAAATTTATAAAGACATTTCATAAGGTTATTAATATCTATAAAATTGACTAAGCATGCATTTATTAAGCCCCAGGTGTTGGGATTGTACTTGGTGAACATCTATGGCAGTAAAATTGCCATTTCTGTGGTCATCAAGGGTTTACAGAACCTTTTTTATTTATTTTATTTATTTTTATTTCTTAAAGATGGGGTTTCACCATGATGGCCAGATTGGTCTTGTACTCCTGACCTCAGGTGATCCACCCACCTCGGCCTCCCAAAGTGCTAGGATTACAGGCGTGAGCCACCGCGCCTGGCTTATTTTTATTTTTTGAGACGGAGTCTCATTCTTTCGACCAGGTTGGAGTGCAGTAGTGCGATCTGGGCTCACTGCAGCCTTCATCTCTGAGGTTCAAGCGATTCTCTTGCCTTAGCCTCCCGAGTAGCTGGGATTACAGGCGGCCGCCACCATGCCTGGCTAATTTTTTGGGTATTTTTAGTAGAGACAGGGGTTTTGCTATGTTGGCCAGGCTGGTCTCGAACTACTGACCTCAAGTGATCCTCCCGCCTCGGCCTCCCAAAGTGCTGGGATTACAGACGCGAGCCACCGCGTCTGGCCACAGGAGCTTTTTTAGAAGATGCTTTACGCCACATAGTAATGCAGCACTGAAAAGACAAACCGTCTTTTCTCTGCTTTTGCATCTCTTTTCTTAACTTCTGGAAATCCTAAAGGTTTGTCCACTGCACTTCCACAGTTGTCTACAGAAGATTCTCGGTACACCTACCAGCTGAGCCCTGACTGTGTCTCCGAATTTCTCACGTTCAAAGTCGAGGTCTCTGGGCTGGGCAGAATTTGGGCAAGCGCAGGAGCTCAGCCAACCCGCGGCTCCACCTCCCCTCCTCTCGCAAGGGAAGCGAGTGAGCGGCAGCGCGCCTGCGCAAGCCTGTTGGTAAGTTACGCTGGGAGAGCGCATGGGCAGACAAACTGTACGTCCGTTTGTCCGGAGCTGAGGGGCCGTGGGCGCCATCTTCTTCTAGGCTCACTGAGGGCTCTACCTGTTCTGGGGAGGCTGCTGCGACGAGGAGTTCCCTTAGCCTCCGGCCTTGTGTGTCCGACTCGGCATCAGTGGTGTGTGTTTGCCAAGTGCGAAGCAGTTCCCCTCTGGGCGCCGGGGGTGGGGCGGGCTGGGCGACCAAGCCGGAAGAACGGGGAAAGGCGGGGCCGGCGGCCACCCGGGGATCTAGCGTAGCTCCTGCAGTTAGGGCACCCTCTTTTCTTGCTAAAACACCGACTCTCCCTTTCCCGTCAGCTTCCATGTGGTGGTGTATGTGCGCTTCCCAGGGATCTTGAGAGTGAAGATCTCGAAGGATTTCATAGGTATTTTTTTTTTCTTTGCTATGTCATCGTAGTCAGTGGTGGCAGAAAAGCGCTGCAGGCCCGGCTCATTAGGCTTGAGAAGGGCAAGTGTTTTCAGTTAGATTTGGGTGCAGTTCACCTTCTGGCGAGTTAGGGTGGAATGTTTGCCCTTGAGACGGCATAACGGAAAGGCACAGAGGTTGGGCGGTCCAGGTTAATTTGAAGGCTGATTTTGGCTGAAAGTCTGGCGACAACATCGGATCCCACGTAGCAACTTTGGCCTGGCGCGAAAGAAGGAAGCTCTGACCCGTGGGAATTGTGGACAAAGGCTTTTGGCTGTAGAATCAATGCCTTCGGAAGATTCCCGTTTGAGGATGATGGATGTTGGGAGAAGTCCTGTGCCCTGTGGATTCGTCTTCATTTACAGTTCTTCTTAGGGACTGTGGCTCTAATTGGTCATACCTTTGGTTTTAATTTTAAACATCTTCATTATAAAAGGTGGATCATCAAGAATAATTATGGGTTGGTGTAGATTATTTTCTGCCGGGGAAACTCACGTTTAGAATTTGAATGTGCTACATCATGACTTTGGGCTTTACGAAGTAGTCACAGAGTTAAAAAAAATTATTTCCCTTACCATATCTGGAAAATGAATTTTTCTTCGTTAGTTAAAAATCAAATGGATCTGAGATATTACCTATTCAAATTCAGCCTCCCTCCCCTATTTCCCTCTCCGTATCTCCTTAAATCTTGATTAGAAGATGCACATTACATATTGTTTAGTTATGATGGTGATTAAGTGGGATGAATCGTTTGATAAAAAAGCAAAGTTATTTAAAATGCGCTTTTAATTTCACTGATTTACTCAAATGACCTTTTAGGGATCCACTTTCTTCTTTTTGTAGAAATTTTAACAGATTAATGTCTTCAAATACATAAGGCACAAAAATACTTTTTGCATTCATAACTAGGAAAATTTTAATTGCAGAGTACTTTAGGGTAATTTTTGTGTTGTGCTTTTGTGTAATTTAGTGTGTTAAGAGTAGAATTTCTGGAGAATTTGCTTAAGGAAATGGCATATTGGAAACAAGTGACCATTTTGAGAGCTGGTCTGTCAGTTGGTCTCCAAGGTGTGTTATTGCAGAGGCGTAAATGGTACATTACCCTACTGTCTTAAGGGCAGAGAAGTTTAAGCATTAGTTGTATTTTAACTGTGGCAAATGAGAATAAAGTTTTTAAAGAGTCTGCGTGAATTGGAATTCATGAGTTTTGTGCTCATGAAACTGTGGTTAAAAAGATAGTTTTTAGGTAGGATAAATCACTAGAGATTTTTTTGAATTTGAGATATAATTATTCCTTGAAACGTCTCTAATTTCTCTTGTAGATGAATTTATGTTCCCAGGGTAAATCCCTTTAAAAATTTTAAGAAAGCTTAGGAGAGACAAAAATACGTATATCTTACGGTGCTTTCTGAAATATGTTAAAAGTAAAAGAGTAGTTAAGCCAGTTTGCATAGGAGGGAGTCTTGGGACTTTAATGTGGTTAAATATTCCAGAAACCATTTATAGTTTTTGTTGAAGTCTTGGTCTGGATATTGGGTTGTTGAAGAAATTAGGCTTTTTAATTTTTTGTTACTGTGCAAATACTTTAATAGCAAACTTCATTAACATTTTTCACATGTAGAATGTGTGAAGTAATTTGATGTCTTTGCTAGTTTAGCTTCTGGTTAATCTATGGACCCTTTTTAAAGGAAAACAGACCTCAGTGCATATGTCTTCAGACCCCCACTTTGGTGAACAGTGATACTTAAGTGTAAGTACTGGATTAAAGCCACATTTATTGTACATTAAAAACATGTAAATTATGCCAGGTGCAGTGGCTCATAGCTGTAAGTCATTAGCACTGTGAGAGGCTGAGGCAGGCTGATTGCTTGAGCCCAGGAGTTCCCTATCAGCCTGGGCAACATGGTGAAACCCTGGCTCTACAAAAAATAACAGAAATTAGCTGGGTGTGGTGGTGTGCACCCGTAGTCCCAGCTACTTGGGAGGCTGAGGTTGGAGGATTGCCTGAGCCTGGATAAGTTGAGGCTGCAGTGAGCCAAGATCGTGCCACTGCACTCCAGCCTGAGTGGCAGAGTGAGACCCTGTCTCCTCCCTCCCCAAAAGTGTAAATTATAATGATTAGTTTGGCAAGTCTTCATGAAATAGGTTGGGTATTCCTGAAAGTATTAAATGCAAATTTCTTAAAAAAAAAATACATTGAAATTTTTCAGTGACCTGGTAATCCTGAGTATTCCAAATTCATTTTTACTTTTACTTTTCTATATTGTCATTTGGGTTTCCTTAGTAGAATGCGGAATAGTTGTTTGAAATGGAAATCTGCTATTGCCATTATTAATATTAGCATTATTATTAGCATTTTCTGTTTGGCTTGAGATGAATGTTAACAGTTACTATTTTTGCAGTAAGGAGTGGTACTGAGATTTTTGACTTTAGGGATATTGTAGTGTTTGCCTTTATACTACTGGCATCGTGAAATTTGGTTCTATGCGTGGAAGTGTGAGTTGTTTATATAGGCCTTTAAATTGCATCCAAACAGTAGCCATAGGTTTGGATTTATTCTTTTAAAAATTGATTTTTGGATTTCAGGCTTTGCTGTTTTATTCATTTATTGTGTAATTTTGAATTGTTGCTTTAATTTGATTTGGTCGTATGTTTTGAAAGGGAGGAGAACAGCACAAGTGTTGGATATAAATATGAACTAGATTTTTGGATTTTCATGTGGCAAAATGATTGAAGTTCTTTTTTCTTTTTTAAACTTTTCGTACTCTTGAGATTTTCCTTGTAGAACAGTTTTTTAAAGTAGATGTAAAACTTGTCTACAGCAAAATGTATAGACCCTAATGATACAATGCAGTAAACCTTGGTAAATTTATACAACCTTGTAACTACTACTGCATTCAAAATATATAACATTTCTTTCACTCCTTTCTTCATGCTACTTCTAATCAAGGAGCAGTTGTTCAATTTTCGGCAAGTTTTAAATTTTTAAATAATTTTTATATGTCTATTTGGATATTGTATCTCCTTTTTGCAGAAGGATGATTAATTTTCCCTTGGAACAAAAGACCATTTTCTAACACCTGTAATTTTGGTTCCTTATATTGCTTCACTTTTGATAGGTAATTCTGAAATGGATATCCTAATCTGGCGTTGTTTAAGATAAATTACAGGGTTCAAGGATTAATTATATTTCATTTTCTTTCCACAGTTAAGTTGCTTTTACAGAATTAACAGGTCTACAAGAAATTTAAAAAAGGTAAGATATCCAGAGTTTAAGGCTTTTTACAGAGGCTTGACAAAAAGACATGTGAAGTAGAATAGTATATCTAGGTACCTATGGCTTCTGTTTTTTTTTTTTTTTTTCTAAAGACAGGGTGTTACTCTGTCACCCAGGCTGGAATGCAGTGGTGGCACAGTTGCAGCCCATTGTATCCCCAAATTTCAAATTCCTGGGCTCAAGCAGTCTTCCTGCCTCAGCCTCCTGAGTAGCTGGGACAGACTACAAGTGCATGCCACCACGCCTAGCTAATTTGTTCTTTTTAGAGACAAGCTCTCGCTCTCTTGCCAAGGCTGGTCTTGAACTCTTGGCCTCAAGCGATCCTCTTGTCTTGGTCTTCCAAAGCCTGGGATTACAGGCATGAGCCATCATGCTTGCCCTGGCTTTTGTTCTCTCTCTGTGTTTGGCCAGTGGTAGGCAATTTATTATGAGCAAAAATTATGTACTAACCATAGACGACTTTTCTAAATATGCAAAATTCATTGCAGTTGATAAAATGCTTTAATCTACAAAGCTCTCTCATGTTTCGGTAGAAGATAAGATTCTAAATGAGTCTGAAAGTAGTTTGGTCTTGTGAAGCAGCATTTGGCACATTTACAAAGGAAGATTTTTATATTTTTGAAGTTCCTGTTGTATAGAATAGGTGATACGAAATGTTTCTTCAAGGTAGTTGGTTTATTTGTATTTTTAGATGGGAGAAAGTTTATTCCTTGTTTTCTTTAATAATTAGATATGACCAGTATTTTTGTGAACTTGTATCTTGTTTTTATTTATAAATGTTGAAGGAAGCAGGAACCAGGTAATTATTAAGCTTAGTTTGGGCTAAGGTACTTCAAAAATAAGACTTGCTATTATGTGTACCTTTTTGTCTGCAGGTCATTATTGCTGTGGTTTGAGCTCAGCATGGCTGTAGTCATCCGTTTACTGGGGCTTCCTTTTATTGCGGGGCCTGTGGATATTCGTCACTTCTTCACGGGATTGACTATTCCTGATGGAGGAGTGCATATAATTGGAGGGGAAATTGGGGAGGCTTTTATTATTTTTGCAACAGATGAAGATGCAAGACGTGCCGTAAGTCGTTCAGGAGGGTTTATCAAGGATTCATCTGTAGAGCTCTTTCTTAGTAGCAAGGCAGAAATGCAGAAGACTATAGACATGAAAAGAACTGATCGTGTAGGAAGAGGGCGCCCACGATCTGGGGCATCAGGGGTTGGCAGCCTGTCTAATTTTATTGAGTCTGTTAAGGAAGAAGCAAGTAATTCTGGATATGGCTCTTCAATTAATCAAGATGCTGGGTTTCATACTAATGGTACAGGACATGGTAATTTAAGGCCAAGAAAGACAAGGCCATTGAAGGCCGAGAATCCTTACTTGTTTCTACGAGGTTTGCCTTACCTAGTAAATGAAGATGATGTACGTGTCTTTTTCTCTGGTTTGTGTGTGGATGGAGTAATTTTCTTAAAACATCATGATGGCCGAAATAATGGTGATGCCATAGTAAAATTTGCTTCATGTGTTGATGCTTCAGGAGGTCTTAAATGTCATAGAAGTTTTATGGGTTCAAGATTCATAGAAGTAATGCAAGGATCAGAACAACAGTGGATTGAGTTTGGTGGTAATGCAGTTAAGGAGGGTGACATTCTTAGGAGATCTGAAGACCATTCTCCACCAAGAGGAATTAATGATAGACATTTTCGAAAACGGTCTCATTCAAAATCTCCCAGAAGGACACGTTCTCGTTCCCCTCTTGGATTTTATGTTCACTTAAAAAATCTGTCCCTCAGTATTGACGAAAGAGATTTAAGAAATTTCTTTAG